ATGCCAGTCATCCCGTGAAGAGGACTAGCAATTCATCGATCACAACATTGTCCTGGTACAAAACAGTCACGGAACTTTCCTCTCATATCGCTAAATACCTTCTGCACCTACCACAGTCTGTCGGTTCTGTCTTCATTATCATTGTTCTCAAAGTGCAGGCACCTGAAAAGCAACAGGAACCTATCATGTGACTTGTATCTGTTGAACATGGTGGATGGAACAGGGCTGTCTTTGCTCTAATAAGCCTGGATCACATGTTTTTTCTAAATGCTTCATAATCATACACAACGCTAAAAACACATACATTTCCTCATTCGTCGTGTCTTTCCAACGTGTCATGCGAGAGGCAGGTAAAATGCCAGTCAATGAGGCTGTAAGCATATCTGATCGTTTTTGCAACGAAATGGTCCATGAATTCCTGGTCAAAATATGCTATAAAATAGTAAATTTCAGCCATATCATCACCAGTATAGGGAAATAAGGGTGTCACACCAACATCGGTGCCATCAAATGTTGGAATTTGTGGGACAAAAGTCTCACAAGTCTTCCACACAAGTACATCTGTGGTTTTGGCACCAACGCCACCACCAGCACGGGCCCCAAAAACACAGCTCTTTTATCTTGTGCTAGAGCTTCGTATGGGTATACCAGGGGATGAGTGTGTTCTGTGTATTATAGGCCTACCACGAACACCTGATGTCGAGGGAACACTGTCGTCTTTGTCCTCAGGCCGCATGACTCGCTGCTGCTTGCCTCGGCATGTTGCTGGGGCAGCAAAACCTCACCTAGTAACACCATTGATGTATGTAGTCACTTCGTCAACACTGCTTGTATCGGAGCCTTTATCACTGAAGCCAGAGAATAATTCATCACATGTAGTATCACTAAATAAACTCTCATCAGGGGACACAAATGATCATGGTAACTCTAGCAGTGTTGACCCAGGGCGGCAAGGCAGGCCGGGCGAGGTGCATGTACTGTACACACTCGCGACAGATGAGAGCTGGGGGATGAGAGCCTCCACTCTAGAACACCACCATGCATAGTGCATGCAAACAGCAGCTCATGGCACTGCTATGCAGCTCGTGCCCATAGCATAACTTAATGATGGAAATAAATGACTGCAGTAATTTAATGATAGTGATAAAGATGATGCTGATAGTGATAGACCATGTACAAGGTTCAGATATCGGTGAACATGATGCTAGTGACATAGCACAAGCAGATAGTCATTGCACACAGCAAGGGTTTGGTGTGTGCGCATCATGCCATGGTATCTCGTGTTGCTTTTAGAATATAAACATGTGAAAAATGTTCATATTCAGGATTTTGTGATGAGGATTATTATAATAGAAGTATTTTTGGGGTAGTGTTACTGATGTGTATACATGTAGTATATAGGGCGGCACTTTGCTTCATCATATAACGTTAGGACCTGACAGGTATGTGGGCTAGGCTGAGCTTGGATTAATGGTTAGGCAATTCACACCCACCAGGACTGCTTAGTGGGTTATTAAAGGTGCCTAAACATGTAGTTATATGTAACATGTGAATACTATGTTATAATAGCAAAAATATTTATGTTGTGGTGCTCATATTGGTGACACACACATAGTGTGCATACCAATGTTCCACACATTGTGATAAAAATATTATTATTGACAGCCCAGTGATTCATGTCATTTGAAAAAAAAAACATAGTAGAAACATTTAAAATATGAATAAACTAAAATATATTCATGCAGTTATTATGTGGCACAAAATATGGGGCTAGGCCGAGATAAGATTTTTAGACCAATTGTTGAGAGAGTACAACATTACTGCTTGGTGGCTCGTAAAGGTGCATAAACATGTGCATACAGTGTGATAATAAGCATTTTATTATTCAAGGAATATAATATTATGCATGCATATTAGTAGATATGAATGTATCGATGTTCTGCACAATTTCTATATAAATTTCTCAAATTACACACTATTGCATAACAGAAAAAGGTAATAAAAAACTGACAAATAAATCTATATAAATATATTCATGGCAACTCGAGCCTGGCTTGAGCAACCTCCTTAGGACGTCTCGTCCATCATCGCTTGTGAATTGGTAACATCTTCGTGAGAGTTCCCATCTCCACCACAGCCAAAGTAAGCTACATAATTTTTTTTTAAATTTTCCCATGATCATGGAATGCATTTTATACTGTATTAAAGAAAATTTTGGGGGTAATTTTCTGGACACACCACGGAGTTGTCATATAAAACTGGTGCACAGTGCAGTGGTTAATAGCTGTAGGTGATGTAATTATTGGGTGAGACCTCATCCCTTGAAAGAAGTTTTAATAATGTATGAGTAATTACAGATGAAATATTTTTGTAGTTGTAATACTGCTTTGGCAGAGGCTTTGGAATATAAGATATCTTCAGAGAATGTAGCTAGCAACATGCTGTACAGTGTCTAGGACTTGCTCAGTTATTTTGTTGCAGGAAAGACCAACTTACCCCTCTCTAGATGCATACAATGTCAAAATAATGTGGCCAAAAATGAGATTTTTGCTGACATTTTGAGACATTTTGATAGGTTTTGCTTCCTACACAGTGAGGCTTAAAAAAATGTTACTGATATGCAAGAAATGTAAAGAAAATAAATGCACATATAGTACTGTATTAGCAAATAGTTTGCTACAAAGCAAATGCAAGCAAATACCCAGTACAATATTAAACTATTACTGTAAAATTTGCATGCAATTTTTGGATAGTGTTTATTCATGGCAACATGGATAGACAAGATATATCTTAAGTGACAAATTTTCATACACCTGATATGATGCCTGATCATCTATAATTAAGACAGGGAAAATATCTATCTTTGAAGGAATGGAAGAATATTAACACGTCTTAACACATTGAAATGCAAATTGGGTCAAAATATTACGCATTTATGGTAGTAATAGCAATAATTAACTAGAGAAAATAAATAACATTTTGTATCTGTAAATTGAGAGGTTGACAAAATTAAATGAATTATAGAGAGCATCGAAGCAGTCACTATTTGAAATAGTAATATAACTACATGTGAAAACAAGAAACCATTAAGTAACACTTAGTACATCTTGAGACGTAGCACCTTCTTTTGATAATTTGATGTAGCACCTTCTTTATACATTCGTTATATTGTGCTTTTACTTTAATGATATAAACAATATGTAAAGAACATGCAGTATGACCCTGATAGTAGGCTGAAGTGGTCATTACTGTCTTTTTCTTAAAATGCACTTATTCAGTCTCTTGTAAATATTAATACAAATGTACAGGGCAGAAATGCTGCATTATTTGTAATCAGCACTGCTAGAGTAGAAATATAAAAAAAAATTCTACCGAAAAAATGCTCTACATATGTACATTATCTGAAAAATATGAAGTGCCACCACTTTTAATTACCCAGTGCATATTGACAGGCCTAACAATGATCTAAGTATTTATATATTTATATACAAGAAGGTACATTGGGTTTGTGAAAGTACATAACATTGGTGTTTTTACATTCTTGCAAAGCCACTAACACGCATAGCATTTTGGGTTGTGTAATCTTGAAATACTACAAATGCATCTTGGATGAGAAGAATTATAAGCTACTGTATATACAAACATTCGTCTGATGCTACTGAATAATTTTTTTTATCACATTACTGGTTTAGACTTGGATATAAACTTTGTACATACTGTATGATATGCCTACTAATTTATATTAACCCTTGCTCTAGGTAGTGCAAATTAAGGTGACATAACCGGTTAAAGAAATATGTAAATTAAAAATGAAGAGAATTTAGGATATTTGGCTAGAATTCTTTTTTCTAAAATTGTATTAAAAATGTCACTTGTATTACAAAGTTGCACAAAACAGTATGGAAAAGATTCAGTAGTTTGCTATACGCAACATGAACTAGGAAAGATAGTTTGCGAGGCAGTCAGTATTGTGCTAGGAATGGAAACAAATGAACATGTTGTTGCACGTAGTATCTTACAGCTATCATTATAATAAAATATATGGTGTGTGCAGATAAATTGTAAAGGCTAATGTAAACATCCATGGAGGTCTGATTATGACCTTTTGTTCTTTGTAATCCTTTTGCACTACTGCTCACAGGATAAGTATGGGGGTGTAGAATAAACTACTGCTCACAGGATGAGCATGGGGGTGTAGAATAAACTACTGCTCACAGGATGAGTATGGGGGGTGTAGAATAAACTATTGCTCACAGGATGAGCATGGGGGTGTAGAATAAACTACTGCTCACAGAATAAGCATGGGGGTGCAGAATAAGCTAGCCACTGCTGGCAGCCGCAATTAATAAAAATAAAAAAAATCAAGATGTTAGGAAGAGAATAACTTTGAAGAAATGAATAGCAGAAAATTAATAATTATTTTTGGTAAATGTGTAAGTCTGCAAATGAAGGGCATCGATGACGTTAGCATTTTTCACAGAAAACGGTAAACAAAATTGCATAAAAGTAACTTTCATCATGTAGGGTTTTGTTAAACATTTACAAGAAAGCCTGGAGCATATAAATCCAGCCTAATAAATTATACAGCAGTTCACAGTTTCAGACCATTCTTTACTCCAAATTAATTTGTTTGAATTTAAATTTAGGCCTATGTCTTGCGAAATAATTTTGAAATTTTAAAATAGCCCATGGAACTTTGATGCTACTTTGAAATTCTCATAACTTGGTTCCAAAGCTGTTGGCTATATTGTACAAATATTAGAATTTTATGAAACCCCTTCTTGCCATTATTTTTATTACAAAATTACAGAATAATTTTTTTTTTTACTACTGTAGGTGATATGTGATGAAATGGTTTTGCAGTTTGGGTCATTCATATGATCGCTTAAAAAAATATATATATATATTTATATATATATATAATATATATATACTGTGTATGATATATATATGCTTACATTATTTTTAAAAACATAATCTTGATTTTTCTTCTATGACAGATAGCACCCGAGTGTTTGCCCATTCAAGCAAGTGGTGACACATCACGGCACAACGGCGAGGCGGTGGCTACCATGTGAGAGAGTGACACATGTTGATGCCTCGGGTTAATTATGTTTTTTGAACCTCTGCATCTATGAAATGATACAAGATTATCATATGTTCATTGTGACCAAGACTATTTTAAGGGACATGTTACATTTGCTGTTCTTCCTATGAGAGGAGGAAATATTGGTAATGTATTGGTGCTGTAATTTACGTTATTCAAAAATGAGATGACTCGATCCGGTGACACATCATTAACAATTGAAAATAATAATTACAATTTTATCAGTTTTATTACAACCGAGGTCTCTTGTCAAGATGTTTCTCTTGCAACAAGAATGTAAGTACTGTACTGTAATTGGGGTTCAACAAAACTGTTAGATGGAATCTTTGAAGAAAGAGAGAGGGAGAGGGATGGAGTCCAACATATATATATTAATGTAAATACAGTATTCAGAAGTACAGTAATTTCAAACTGCTAAATAAATGAGCAACTGAAAATGCTATGAAATGTATTTTAATAGAATACCAATTGCCACTTGAGGCCCATAATCCTCGCAGGAGATCATGATGCACAAGAATACATACTGCCAGCAATCAGATTATTACTGAAAACCTCCTTAGCATTAGAATTTTGCCTAATGAATGATTTATAATGTTTATAATTGATATGAACTTACAAAATACATACATTGCTTTTTCTCTAGGTTGTGTAATTATTAATTTTGTCCTTAGGTTAAGGAGCTTTTAGTTGCAATAGCCTATTGGCAGCAACTCTAGACAACAAGTATCACAAAAAGTCTTCCAGTAGGTTTTTTAAGTAAATTTTATGTACATTCGCCTACACAGGTGCTTATGATATGAGTTGACAGTAATTAATGTAGCATAAATGCAGATGCTATTCTTAGTTTTAAGTTTTCTACCTTAATTTTTACTTCTATGTTACTCATTGTGCATTCAAAGTGCCTTATTGAAGTTGTATATTATTTTGAGCATTGCTTCCTACAAAACCGCCGTCAATACTACAGTGTGATGCTGCAGCCCCTCAATTTTATTATATCCTGCTATGGATCAAACTTCATGATTATATTTGTTGGTTAGTAAGAGCAAAGATATGTACAAAATGTGTAATCTGCAGTGTCAAAGTACAGCAAACTGTCATGAATAGCAGATGAAATTGTAAAAAACAAAAAAAAAATCTTGGTACTACGAAGTCGTGATAAAGCAGGCAGTGAGATTGAGATTACAGATTAAGTCCTAAGGATGCTGAAGCTGAGCAGGTGAAGCTGCATTCCTATCACAAGGGTGGGTGGGTGTGTTGCCAAGAACTTCTTTTATTACTTTAGAGTTTATGATGTATCCCTGAACAACGAATGAGCTATTTGCTGATGAATTTTGCCAGAGTCAAATTTGTATGAATTTATTCTCCCATAACATATGGAAGATGGGTGTACTTATTTTACTCATATTTTGTCAGGGATTCTACTAATCACATCATGTAAAGAAAGTAGACAATATCATTTCTATATTTTCATTTTACAAGTGTTGTAAATTAAGATAGTTAAAATGAAGTAGATTATAGCTTTACAGTGACTGATCTCCCCATTTTTCCAGTATGTGCATTGCTCACTCACCCTTGTTGCCAATCAGTGACACAGATGTGTCATAAGTTGTTCTGGCAGACAATAAACAGTTTTGCCTGTTGGGTGCTTTCAGATTGTTACCATTTTTTATTGTGGCAAAAAAATGCAGAAGTAATGGAAGCTTTATAGTAATCCATTGGCTTGCCTGCAGAGATAAAATTAGATTATGGATATTCTGTTTTGCAGAAATTACTGTTCATGCCACATTCTTCCCCAAGGGAGTTTTGGTATTCCATTAATCATTCCCTGTTTCAGCATTTTTTATGTAAACATTGTAAAAACAATTGTTTTCCTGTTGTCATAAATCAGGGCATATTGGCTGCTTATTACTTCATTTTCATGTACTGGAGTAATACACTTCTAGCTTTTGTTATATTTTCAAGTTGTTATTTATTATAATTTTATATTTCTATTGATTAATATGTAATTACTTCATTAAGTAGTCCTCTATACTTGAAGACAGGGTGCTCCACACAACACAGTGAAGTGCTCACAGTAACTGTAATGTTAGTTGTTAAGTAAGCCCTTGCTAATCTTACAAGGGCTTAAACTTGTTGAATATGTTTTGAAATGTGTAGTTTATTATTATAGCTATTAAGTGGCCCTCACTTTGAGTATAGGGCTTTCAACTTGCTGGCTGCATTTTGAGTACTGCAGTTTATCAGTTTCTTGTTCTTCGTACCCTAGTCGTGACAGCGTGAGTAGTGAGCCGCAACAGTGCTCAAGCCACTCTCAACCTAATGCTCAGGCAGCCATGTGCACCACAATTCTAAATACTTAACTTTTTTTTTTACAATGCACTATATTGTAATTCTTAGTGATTTCAGAGAACTTATATTAATGCCATAGTCTTAAACACGTCATTTTAGGCATTATATTTTTAAATTACCCTAGATGTTTAAATTTGCATGCCAAAATTCAAGATTTGTTTACATACAAGTAAATTTCTGAGAGATTCAGCTCTTAACTAATTCTTAAAAAAATATAAATAGTATGACACTCTTAAATATCAATTGCTAATATGAGATGGTGCTATCCATTATATTTGGTACAGTTCATTACTATCTTTTCATGTTTTGGAATTAGATAATCCTGCACTTTTAAATTCAGAATTCTTCATAAATATTTGCTTTGTTAGCCCATTTTCCAGATTTATTTAGCCATAAGGGCAGCACAGATAGATACATACAGTCCATTCCGGTCCTTGGTGTATGATGACAGGTATGACATTTTTCAAATGTAGCGAGTGCTGGTGTATATTAAGACGTGCGGGTGTAAAGGTGGTCAGTGATTGAAACCCTTAAGAATCTTGTTACCATCATCTTAGATGTCAAAGGGGGAAAAAAATAAAAATTAAAAATAGATAATCTAGGTTGTGACCATAGCTAGTCACTCTGCCTTGTTTAGGCCCTTGGTAAAGTTGAACTTAATAAGATGTTGACACCTGGATATTGCATATAATATGAACAGATGCATTAGTATTTAAACATGTAATAGTCAAACTGTTTATCATCCATTTTTTCAGATTTTTGCATCGTTGAATTTGATACACATTAAAATACAGTAACCTATGTGCAGAGATGCATTTCTTGGTGTAATTTTGTTTCTTGTATACCATGTTGTGATTTCCATTCAGTATTACAGATTAAATTTTTTTGTCTATATTTACGACATGGATAGATCTGATTACCATTTATTGTCAGTTTTTTGTGTTTTATTATATTTTTTAGGTTTTTACTGTGGTGTACATGGCTGAAAACTATTTATTACACATATATTACCAGTATGAGTTTGTTAAAAAGAAACCTTTGTGAGAAATTGAGAAAGTAAATTATTTCCTATGCTTAATAAGTCATCAAGTATCCAAAGATAAAGTGTGTAACAAGTGAATAAGAATTTTATAATATATATAATGATCGCTGGTATAATCATTGCATTATCTCGTGACCATCATCTGTGATATTTTAAAGTGTGAAGAGCCATCTTATGGAATGCCAGGGAGACAGGTGCTCAGTAGTTGATTATTAATTTGTGGCTAAAATTCACCATGATTTTGGGGAGAATTACTGGTTTGTCTCGGGCATCTTTCAGGGTGTAAAGGGATATCCTGGCTCTTCCTCGACAGAAGGCAGAGTGGAAGCCTAGAAAACAACAAATTATATAACTAAATATTTTCTTTATACATTAAGAGCATGATTTAATGTTGCATACATTGCTCTCCAAAAATAGCATCACTTTAATAGTACTCCAACTACAAAATTAAATTTTTGCTAATATTTTTATGGTGCTCATGTAACAGGCATTCAGGCTAAGACTGTAACAGGCTAAGTGAAATCACTCAATATATCTTGGTCTCTAATGTGAAAGAGGCATTGTAAAATGTGCCTGCCACTTTGTATATCTGTCGGTGAGGAGCCATGTGAGGGTCTTATTTTCTTTCTGTAGATACTTTTCCACCGGGCGCATTGGAAGGTCCTTCTGGTTATTGGTGAATCAATCATCATTGCTCTGTAGCTCACCTTGGGTCCCAGTTTGTAGCTCGCCTTGGATCCTAGTTCACAGCTTGCCTTGGATCTCGGTCCATAGCTTGGCTTGGGTCACAGTCCGTAGCTCACCCTGGGTCCCACTCTGTCAATCCAGTCTGTAATAATGATTTTTTGAAGGTGGTTGAGGCAGTTATTAGCTTTGGTTCTTTGCGGCTTTGGGTACACCAAACTAGGGTATGTATTTTTTCCCCAGTTCTTTGTCTTTGTTTGCTTCTCCCTATGTTGGTAGTCAATAAATTAAAAGAAATTTGAAGTGGCCACCAGTTATCTTGAGTAATGATGCAGGTATTGTTTATCTGTAAAATCTTTGAAATGTTACTTCAGTTTTCTTTTACGTAGTGCTAATAAGCATAGCATTCCAATATAATCCTTTACCTGATTTCCATGGCTTTTTACACTAGCGATAACTTAGTTTTTAAGGTCATTTCATTATTTTTTTTATGCTCCCATACTTCATATGCACATTCCATTAGTATGATAGAAAATATGACTCCATTTTCTGCCTGTTTGTATATATGATGGAGGTATTATCTTATGTCTGCTCAAAAAGTTGGTCGAGACACGCTGTCCTATCCGGTCTCTCTTTCAGAATTATGTAAAACAAAAAAGTTGATGGAAACCATTCCATGGATGCAAGAGATTAGCATAGGCACAGAGGGTCTCTGGCTGGCTCTCACTCACCACAACATATACAATTTTGTTTTCCATTTATAAATAATTAGCTTTTAATGTAGATTTTATATACACTACATTTTATTTAATTAAGCTGTGTTGTATGAAATGGTTTGTATAGGATGAGCCTAGTTGATTATTTTCTCCCTGTATAGTCTCTTGCAATTCAAGACAATCTATGTACACCCAATACAGGTGATATGCCAATACTTAAGTACAGTAAGTCATATTCAGCGATGCCCACCTATACTAGGTCATTAAGTATGAGATCATATTCAGTTATGTCAAGCACTACTGATAGTGTGTAAACATAGCATTACTATCTTCATAGAAATCTTAGCAATACACAGTATGAAGTCACTGCTGTGGACAAAGCCAAAGATTTCTGAGGATGTAAAAGTGAATATACAAGAAGACATCTTCACTAGGCCATTCTTCTTGATGGGATTGTTATATCCCCATGTGCAATACACAGATTATTTATCCTGTTTTTCTAGTGAGTGTAACTTGTTGCAATATGAAAGTACGATTATAGCAGTGCACTTAACAGTGTTGTTTAATTTTTGTAGAATTTAGTTCAACATGAACTAAATACTAGCGTGACAGTAAGAATTATATTTAAGAAGATTTCCCAGACTTGCCCTGACTGAATCGGGCATTTTAGGTAGTGTCTTGATGGATCTTAACAGGATGGCTTACAAATGTATAGTTTGTAACAGTGGGAAAAAAAAGTCCAAACTACTCTCAGTAAGTCACTGTAAGACCCATATTACAAACACAAAAATGCGGCGAGATTTCTGATATTCATGTAGATTTAGATAATGTATTTTGAAATTTGCAAATCTTGTATAAAATCAGCATAAATGACTAAACTCCATTATTGTTCATATGTGCAAATATAGATTAGCGACCATAGCAGCTTTGCATGTATTTATATAAAATTTACGAATAAAGTAATCTATGCATTGATGGAGTTTCATTTATTCACAGAAGTTACTAAGCAAAATTGTAAAAAATTTAAAATGCAAAACCTGTTTCAGGGATTTAAATGCTTATCCAATTTCATGTTAGTGTTTTGCCCTTTCCCTCTCAAAATAGCATTACAGTGGAACCTCGGTTTTCGAATGCCCCCTCCTCAAATTTTTCGGTATTCGAGCTCAATTTCTTCGAAAAATTTGACTCGGTACTCTAAGTTTGCCTGTGTTTGTATGGGCCAACCGAGCACATGTATGGCGCGCTTTAGTTTACTGGTGTCTTCCGCCTAGTGACGACTGTGCTTGAATTCTTTGTGAAGAATTTAATTTTTTGTTTTTAAGTTTCTGAACATAAAAGTTCTTATTATATATCACACCATGTGTTCCAAGAAAGTCAGTGATAAAGTTCAATCTCCCCCCCCCCTACCTTATGTTCTGCCTCCTCTTCTTGTTCATCTCCTCTCCTTCTCTCCTTCTTTACCTTCTTCCTCTCCTCCCTCTCCTTGGTCATCTAAGAACATTTGAATGTTGAGGATGATGATAGAAAAAGAGATCATTCATAGCGAGACAATGTGATGTCTCGCTACAGACACGTGTTAAAACATAGGGAGAAAAACAAGTGTGTATAGACAGATTCTCGGTAAGACAAGCAAGCAGTGAGCCACAACCAGGTCCTTGTGGTATGCCTCCAAACATTGAGAGAGTACGTACTCCAAAAATGTTATCACAGCTGTTATAATGGAAGGGCCTTCCAAACACTAACACCTCTCCTCCTTTCCCCCCTTCCTCACTGTCTTCCATACACCAAGAAGTCCTCAATAAGGGTAAGATGTACTTGAACATAATGTAGTATAAAATAGTAGTAGTACTATGTATAAAATGTGTTTTAAAGTTAATATTTCTAGGGGGTGTGGAACATTAATTCAATTTACCTTATTTCTTGTGGCAAAATTCGTTTCGGTTTTTGAATCGTCTCTGGGAACGGATTAAATTTGAAAATGAAGGTACTGTACCACTGTACAGTACTTTGTTTGTCATTTTCATCAGAGTGATCATGTGCCATGTTAGTTTAACATTGAGTCAAAACCCTAAACACTTGTACAAGGAGCTAAAGAATATTTGAGTAGTTGACAGAGAGGAAGTAGTTGACTGAGGTCTCCTTAAGCCAGCTACTGACCTTTCCCAGGATGCAACCCACAATTGCTTAACTCCTGGGTACTATTTATTGCTAGGTGAACACAGCAATGAGATGAAAGGAAACTTGCACAACTCTCCTCTACTGTGGGACTGAAACCTGCGTATTATGCAAGGGGGGTTCCTGTGTGTGGTTCTCTGGTGGGCATATGTAGGGCCCCCCTTCCCCACCTTTCCCTCCTACTTGTTGGGGCGGCTTTTGAACAAAAATACAAACGGCAATAATAAACCTTCCAGATCATAAGACCACTGCAGAATGGGGTCACCAGTGAGGAGCTGCCCTGTGTATTCACTTAGATGTGCATGCAAGGTTGAGTTAAGCTCATAGCCCCACCTTCTGAACATTTTTAGATTAATGGAATGACTTATTTCTCATGCTTTTCGTATTGGCATCCTTGGTGATATTTAGTGCCCTCTGATTATTCCACACATTTGATGGTGCTACATAGCCTTCCCGGTTTGGTGCCGCCTTTTTGATAATTACTTACTTCTCGTGCTTTTATTATGTTTACATTTAAAACTGAATTGAATTTGCTTCAATGACTTCTACATCTAACCTATTCCACTTGTAGGAATAAAAGTGGAACATTATATTGAACAGTTTCTTTACAAAACTTACTTATACTACAGTATTAGCCAAAGCCAGGCTAAACGTTGGTAAACTATTAATTTACTGATTGCAATGCTTAAGAATTATTAGCATATACAGAACTAGTCAACCGATATAGTGTCCCCTTGGAAAGCCAGTGAGCAGTTTAATGAGTATACAGAGTACCTAACAGCTAAGCATACTAGTGCATTGTATAAGTTTAATTTTTTAGTATATTAATATGCTACTGTTAATTACAAACTACACAATGAATACAAAAATATAAATATTTTGTGTGTGTACCCCCCCCCCTCCATAGCACGAGTGAAACCAGCTGATCATTGTAAACATTGTTTCATGGCAAGAGACAGAGGATAGACCCAGAAATACTGTAGCTAGATATAGTAAGTAAGACTTGGGAGCAGCAGAGATATCAGTAAGCTATAATATATGTATGGGCAATGTCATTGTACAGATTACTGGTTAAACCAACCAGTAATCAAATAAGGGTTGCAAACTGATATACCACGGCACTTGTCTAAAGATCCTGGCCACCTTGTGTGAGGCGTACAACAACGAGGAAACTGAAGGTAAAGGCCTCGTTCGCTTTTACTGCATCACTTGCAATGACAAAATCAGGAAACTTAGGAGTAGCCTCGAGAATAATGATGAAACTGTTAATGAGAGGAAATAATTTATGTGAATAATGATGGCACTATAGATGGAATTGTAGAGGAAGTAATTACAATAATAAAGATGTAATGATGATGAACAGCTTGAAGGTCACAAGGCAATGAGAGAGTTGCAGGAGGAACAAAGCTTTGATGAAGCTATTTATAAATCTTAAACAATCAATAGAAAATACTCTTATAGGCAGATGAAAAAGCTTCATTGTAAGAAACCTTGCAAAAATGGACAAGAATGACCAGGAACTCGTTGAGGCAATGATAGAGAAACTGGTAGGCAAGGAGGAGGAATTGAGTACATCAAATGTGGGGAGGTTAGGTAGGCCTGAAGCAAATATGGTAAGCATAACTATTTCAAATTTTGAACACAGGAGGATACTCGACTGCCCACAAACTAAGACTCCGAAGGGGTATATCAAAGTACAGTATACGTGTCTCCCGACCTCTCAATTTGTTACGGCCTGGTTGAGCCAGTAATTGTGTTCTTTCTGCATAATTGGCCTTGGAGCCGCCTCTTCTGATTTTGACCAAAGTCAATGGTAAGTTATCAAGAATTGGCAGTAGCAAGTAATCGTGAAATATAAAGGGGGGTAAACAAGACTAAATAACACCTTCACCGATATAATCTTTCGTTTAACTACACATATGTACACAGTCTCTTTTGCAAAGGACACTTAATATATCTGCAGTGTTCTTCAAATCCCAGTGAGTCCACTATCTTCAAGTATACGTCATCCACATCCAGTGGTTATCACCGACGAGTTCACTTTACTCAACATGGGCCAGTCCCCACACCGTATCCTCACAACGTCCAAATACCCCATATCTGCTCTCCATAAATACACTAGCTATCTTGAGGTTATCTTGAGATGATTTCGGGGCTTTTTAGTGTCCCCGCGGCCAGGTCCTCGACCAGGCCTCCACCCCCAGGAAGCAGCCCATGACAGCTGACTAACACCCAGGTACCTATTTTACTGCTAGGTAACAGGGGCATAGGGTGAAAGAAACTCTGCCCATTGTTTCTCGCCGGCACCTGGGATCGAACCCAGGACCACAGGATCACAAGTCCAGCGTGCTGTCCGCTCGGCCGACCAGCTCTCTAGAAGAAGGCTTCAATACACAATAGAGAGGACATTATGGTGACCTTAGAATTTTTTTTAGTGAGTGTAACTGGACAGACTTGTTGCTAGGCAAGGAAGTAAATGAGATGTATGTCAAGTTTTGTGAAATACTGTATATGATAAAGGCACAAAAAAAATTTATACCAAAACAGAGATGCAGAACTAGGAAACAGGATTGGTTCAACAGAAATTGCGAGAGGGCCAGAGACCAAAAGACACAAAAATGGAATCGATATACGAAGAGGCCAAACCCTCAAACATACCAGCGATACAAAGATGCGAGAAACAACTACACGGCAGTGAGGAGAGAGGCAGAAAGAAATTTTGAAAAAGGGATTGCAGACAAATGTAAAACAGAACCAGGTCAATTCTATAAATTCATAAACAGCAAATTACAGGTAAAGGATAATATTCAGGGGTTGAAAATGGGAAATAGATTCACGGCAAATGAAAAAGAAATGTGTGAAACATTAAATGAAAAGTTCCAAAGTGTGTTTGTACAAAATGAAATCTTCAAGGAACCAGACACAATAACAATTCCAGAGAACAACATAGAGACGAAGTACTTTGTTCTTAAGTAAGAACAAAGCAGTTGCTCCAGATGGAGTTTCACCATGGGTTCTAAGAGAATGTGCACCTGAGCTCAGCATTCCACTTAAACTGATTTTTCAGGCATCCCTGTTTACAGGAGTTGTAGCTGATGTATGGAAAAAGGCTAACATAGTTCCAATCTACAAAAGTGGCAGCAGGGAAGAGCCCCTTAATTATAGACCTGTATCATTGACAAATGTCATGGTCAAAATATTGGAAAAAATAATTAAAACTAAATGGGTAGAACACCTGGAGAAAAATGATATAATATCAGACAGTATGGTTTTCGATCTGGAAGATCCTGTATAATGAACTTACTCAGTTTCTATGAGTGAGCCACAGAAATTTTACAGGAAAGAGATGGTTGGGATGACTGCATCTATCTGGACCTAAAAAAGGCTTTCAACATAAGAGTTCCACATAAGAGGTTGTTCTGGAAACTGGAACATATTCCAGTGACAGTGACATATGGGGTGACAGATAAGCTTCTAACATGGATGAAAAATTTCCTGACAGAAAAATGAGGGCCATAATCAGAGGCAATGTATCGGAATGGAGGAATGTCACGAGTGGAGTACCACAGGTGTGTGGTGTGGAGGGGAAAGGGGGGAAGTAGTTAGTAAACAGTTGATTGACAGTTGAGAGGCGGGCCGAAAGAGCAAAGCTCAACCCCTGCAAACACAACTAGGTGAATACAGGGTTCAGTTCTTGCACTGGTAATGTTCATTGGCTACATAAACGATCTATGTACCAGTTGGAATACAAAATTATATGGACACGTTTGCTGATGATGCTAAGATAATAGGGAAGAT